CCAAGATTAATCAAAATCTACCATGTTAACCAGACAGGCTTGGCCAAGTCACTCGCAGCCATAATTCAGAAGTGTGCTACTAAAGTCTATAAGAAAGGCTTTCGGTATTTTGGCGTGGAATATCGCGACGAGTGTTGGAGTGGACTGAACGGTAGTATGACTTACAACAGACATGGGCGATCCGACAATTGTTTATGGAATTATTACGTGGGAGATGTATGGACCATATTTGTTTACCGCTTTGTTGAAGGTAAGTTACCAGTTGATCACTTCACAGGGAATTTGGCTCTGGCAAGAAGTCTGCGAGTCTGGGAACTTGTGTCATGGATGCGTAAGAGCATACCGTAAAATGGTTCCCATGCTTCTGCACAGGAAGATTAAAACGCTGTTTCATAGGTTAAGGTAGCTTGTATTGTTGATCGATCAGGAAAATTCTAATAAGAATTTTCTTGAGATCTGATTTAAAACAAATTTAAACCTTACATTTAGCTAACTAATATTATGTACGATGATTAGCGTTTGGGTCCTCAGCCAACTGTTCTAAATGTTAGTTTCCGTTAGGTCTGAGCATTTGTTATCTGGTATTAAGCACCTGCCTCGACGAAGCCCCTGGCTTCATCAATCCATTGGATTTTATTACCATACACCTTTTTGTCGTGAAGCGTGAAGTTTTTTTTTTTTGTAGAAAGACACCGTTTTCAAACGCCGTTTCAGGGCATAAGCCGATCAAGTTTTATCAATTCAAAACTTCAGTAGTTTACACACTTTTTAAAGCTTTCATATCATGGACGGTTTCTTCTAATCATCAGTGAATGGTAGCTGGAGCCACTGGTCGCCATGGCAACCATGCAGTGTGACTTGTGGAGGGGGAAACAGGACACGTTCTCGCACATGCTCTAATCCAGAGCCACAATGGAACGAAAATGATTGCCCTGGGACAAATAACTCCACAGAAAGCTGTAATTTGCACAAATGTAAAGGTAGTTGCCTATTTGAAAGATTTTTCCTTAAAATGATTTCGGCTTACTTTGGTGCTCTAGTATTTTGCTTTTCATTTCGGAGCTGTTTTTGATTTCTAAGGTGGCTCATAGTTATAAGAATACACTCGAAACCTCTTTGATACGGACATTCAGTAAAGGTTCAGAGCTGAGTGTCTGTATTATGGAGGTGTCCGGGAGGGGAGGTTCCTCCGTAAAGTATTATTTAAAATCCTCGTCAGAATGTTTTTAAGACATAAAGGCAAGAAATGAAGAACTGATACAAACTATAGCGTTTGTCGAAGGTTTCGTATAATCACTGTTATCATTATGTTAGATTTCGTATCATTCTTGTTGCATATCGTACATAAATTGTGTATTTAGTATCACCCAACTAGTGGACTAATGCAAATCCTGCATTTNTGTGAACTTGCAGACCTTTTTCCACGTTTAATGCAATCAGAGAATAGGCTTTGTCGGATCGTAACCGAAAGGCATTCTTCACAGCCGCTGTTGCAGTTTCTGCTGGGGGAGTTTCTTGACCTTCTTGTGTAAATCCCCATAGACCACGCTCCATTAAAACGAGCTTTATGTTGTACTTCCATGATTGGTAATTCTTCCCGTTCAGCTTTTCAATCTTTATAGTTTCCGACATCGATGTCATGTTCTACGGCAAAACAGCGTTAAATAACAACAACTCCACGTCCTGGGCCCATAACCTGTTAAAATAAACCAACCGAGCCACAACTATCCAGGACTTTTTAATCTAAACTGAACACACTACTCGTGTACATCGTCATATAGGATCAAAAACCTAGTCGAACAACAACAACATGGCGGGAACTTGAAGCGTGCATTAAAGAGAATCAACCAATCAGCTTCTATTGTAACGCATACATTATCATAAATATTTCAACAGTGTGGAGGGGGAAACAGGACACGTATTCGCACATGCTCTAATCCATGGCCAAAATGGAACGAAAAGGATTGCCCTGGGACAAATAACTCTACAGAAAGCTGCAATTTGCAAAAATGTAAAGGTAGTTGCCTTTTTGAAAGATTTTTCCTTAAAATGATTTCGGCTTATTTTGGTGCTCTAGTATTTTCCTTGCTTTTCATTTCGGAGCTGAGTTAGTTTTTGATTGTTAAGGTTCCTTGATACGGACATTCAGTAGTGAAGGTTCAGAGCTGAGTGTCTGCATTATGGAGGTGTCCGGGAGGAGAGGTTCCTTAGTAAAGTATTATCTAAAATCCTTGTCAGAACGTTTTTAAGACGTAAAGGAAAGAAACGAAGAATTGATACAAACTATAGCGTTTGTCGAAGGTTTCGTATAATCATTGTTATCATTATGTTAGATTTCGTATCATTCTTGTTGTATATCGTATATATATTGTGTATATATTAATATTGTATATATCGACAAATTACAAATTAAGATAGAGACTACATGAATTTGTATCGAACACTCACACGATTGTGTGAAACCACTTCTATTTTTCTTTGTTCATCGACAGTATTAAATATTGTTTTGAGCATCCAAAGTAGTTTACTAGGGGCGTTGAAATGATAATAATGATAACAATTTTTGAAGACTGGGTCATGTTTAAAAAGTAAAAAAAGTACACAAATTGAGGTAAATTATTCGTGGCCAAAAAAAAAAAACATTTTTTGTATGGTGTCGTCGTATTTCGTTCTTTATTGTATTCAGCTTCTACAGGAGGTAATATTCTTCACAACAATGGGACTTATCATGGTCATAGCACTGGGGAATCTTCTTTGCTTCTGGTAGCGAAGATCGTGGGCAGCTCACTTTTGGCTTTGCTTTGCCTAAGTGGAGTATTATGGTTTGCTTTAAGATATCTTAGAAAGAGAAGGTAAGCATGAAGAACACTCTTTGTCTGCCTTGGATTATAATGCGCGTGGTTATAAACTAAGAAAAAGTTGAAAAAGCTAATAAATTAGGACGGGGCTATTGAATCTAATGAATGATTTTTTCAAGGATAGGACTGAAAACAGTCGCGAAGGACACTTGAGCCGAGGTATAAATTTGTTTCACCACAATAAATAGAATAAGGTTGTGGTCTAGACCACAAAAAGTAATAATGATAAGAATTAATTAACAATAAGCAAATAAATAAATAAATAAATAAATATTGTCCCACCTCATGCCACATAACCAAAATAACTGCAAGAAAGAATTCTGCAGAAAATGTCCTATAATTCCTTGATTATGCATTGTGAGTAGTTTCTTTGTTAAATTAAGGTCAAGCATTTAATCTTATAGACATGTTTTCAGATCCAATTCAAAATTCTTTGATCCGTGGGAAGTCCGTTTTGATGACATTTCCTTGGATAATATCATTGGGGAAGGAGCGTTTGGAGCAGTGTACAGGGCTGCGCTTTTAAAACAACCTTTGGAGGTCGGAAATGGAAGGAAATCTTCGCAGCTGACCGTTGCTGTGAAAATGTTGCAGAGTACGATTTGCTTATGTCAACGTTTTATAACCTATAAATATAGCTGTTTATAGTTTTCTGTTCTTGTCTAAAAAGAGGTCAGTTTGTTATATTCGCGTACAATTAAAGACGGATTCACACTGTATGATTATTTGTGCAAAACTAAACATCTTGCAGTCTATACATGTACTATGTTATCTAAACTTTATGAGCTCAGCTACTGGTTTAATAATCGTCTGAGAGATGTGTTTCCAGAAGCCCTTATAAG